GTCTAGTAGAGTTCTAGAACATTTCCATCGACGCCGAAAGTTCTATTGGATGGCACCGGTCTAGTAGAGTTCTAGAACATTTCCATCAACACCGAAAGTTCTATTGGATAGCACAAGTCTAGTCCACAGCAGCATCAAAAAGCTTTGGATATTCACAGAACTCAAACCATCTTAACATTGTCTTACAGGAGTCTTGCAACTTCTATACAGATTTGTTTGCTTTATTTGTAATAGGAGATGATAATACTGGAATCAAATTAAATCGGATCCAGGGATTTTACCTGCCAGCATGCTGACAAGGTCTAACTCAGCTACGTTTGGAGCACAAGAATCTTCCGTGCTGTTTGCTGTGGAGATGTTTATTGTCCACACCCACGTCATGGTGGCACCATTCCTGTCTGCCATGCCTGGGCCCAGAGGTCCCTCATGACAAATGTGGAGGCCACAGCTCTGAGTTTATCTCCCACCCACACTCTCAGCATCCACACAGCACCAGCCACAGCACTTTGTTAGCCAACTGGAAGTAATGTGTCAATGAGGCACGGTTCCTTACCATTCACAGATTACAAACACACACACACACACACACACACACACACACACACATACACACTGTAAACAGTGGAGGCACTCACCTCTTCCTCATTACAAGTCAGCTACCTCCCCATTACAAGTCAGCTACCTCCCAGTTTGGGCCAGTTTGGTCTCTTCAGAGCCTTTAACCCTTGTCCACCTGCCACCATATTCCAGTAATTTGAGGGGACACATTCCTCCTAACTCTGCTCTAGAGGCAGGAAAGACCTTCTACTCTGACCCCTGGTCTTGAATCCAAACTTCTGCTTGCTGTGTAGAGGCAGTGTTGGTTTGGGGATGGGGAGAATGGAGGTGTCCACAAAGAAAAAACAGCTTCCATTCTTTCCGATTTGTTTACAGCAGCGATACCAAAACACAGATTGGGGTGCTTGGGTAGCTCAGTTGGCTGTGCGTCCGACTCTTGATTTCGGCTCAGGTCATGATCCCAGGGTTGGGGGATCGAGCCCCGCACGGGGCTGTGCACTGAGCCTGAAGTCTGCTTAAGATTCTCTCTCTCTCAGGGCACGTGGGTGGCTCAGCTGGGTAAGCGTCTGACTTCGGCTCAGGTGGTGATCTCACGGTTCAGAAGTGTGAGCCCCGCATCGGGCTCCGTGCTCACAGCTCAGAGACTGGAGCCTGCTTCGGATTCTGTGTCTCCCTCTCTCTGCCCCTCCCACTCTGTCTCTCTCTCAAAAATAAAGCATTAAAAAAATGTTTTTTTTAAAAAAGTTCTCTCTCTCTTCCTCTTCCCCCCCCCAATGCACACTCTCAAAACAAAATAATAAAATAAAATACAGATTAATACCTTCATAAGTTATTCTTCCAAACTTACCAGGTATTGCTATTTTCTAAATACCAATGGCACTGAACACAGCGATGCAATTTACAGTATTATCAACATAACTGACAACACACATTCCCTGACCCATGCAAAGTGAATCGCTTTAAGATCAAACTGCATATGGACATGCCTGGGTCCATTCACTTGGGCTTGACACCATGGAAATGGCATTCTCTGGAAGATGCTCCACATGAACAATAACAGTAACACGGTATCTGACGATTCCTTCCAAATTCAGGGATGACATTTCACCACTGACAAAGCAAGGCTGCAAGGAAGAAAATCTTAAAGTGGTTTCTCCATTCAGGGTGCTCCACTGTTTATGCAAGACGGCCTGTTCTCTTGCCCCGACTTCAACACCAGAAGGACTCGAACACCAACTCCGCCATCGTGTTCCACGGTGCTCAACACCAACTTCCCTTCTAGCAACAACCGAGGGAACACCGAAGCTGGCTGCAACCGAGAAGAACTGTAAGCCCTGCCTGGCTGCACTGGCGTCCTCACATTACGTGCACAGAGGTCCATTTCCTCACTGAAGTGTCAAGTCTTCTAGGGACAGATTACATCATTCACCTCCGTTTCCCTTTCTCCTTTCTCCAGTACTTGGCCCCTCCTGATTTCTTCATCCTCTCACCAGTTATTCTTACGACTCATTCATCTGGCTCATTCCACATCATTTCATTTTCTCTTTTTATTTTGGAGGGGGAAACTTCCCTGGTGCCCCTAGACCTTTTTCCTTAAGTTGGCAAGAATTGGTTTCTGTTGGTTGCACCCTAGAACCCCTGGCTGACGTGGGCAAGGACTACAATATGCCTTCGGCGCTTTTCAGAGTGCCCAAGACAGAGTCAGCACCGCGTCATGAGAAGAAGGAGTGAGTACTGAATTGTATACATAGCAGGAACTGAACAAACACCCAGATGTTAGCATAAAGGCCTCTAGAATCAGACTTCTCTATTTTTTTCCTTTGCTGCCCTGGAAGGATGGGAGGTGAACACGCCCCCTCACTTTCTGAGCCCTGGTCCTCCCTGTTCTCAAGCAAAGGTAAACGAAGTTTGGGGTGCTAATAATTCAGTCTAAGAACAGGTTTGAGGGGAAAAGGAAGGTGGACTGGAGGAGCAGACAACGGGAAGGGAGTGTCGTGTGAGACAGAAAGAGCGGTCCTGTGCAGGGGGGAACGGACTTTGTTAGTAGAGGAGCAGCAAGAGGCCAGAGAGGAGAACCGTGCGCTACTTGCAGGGGTGGGACCGCGGGGCAGGTGGCCGGCGACTCCTCTCTCCCACGGAGAGAGCGCTCAGGCCCACAGGAAACGTGCACACAAGGACCACAAGGTCTCAGTGATGACACGCGTGAACAGATGGCAGAAAACCAGGCAGTCTCTCTCTAAAAGGCCCAGAGCCTTGAGAAGCCCCGAGAATGACCGAGAATGGCAGCCCAGAGAGACAGATGTTCAGCAACAGAATTAGCATGGCTTAGAAAGCTTAAAGGTGACACTTCTCACATGCGCGAGTGTGTGAACACAGATTCCTACGTGCCACGGTTATTAAATAGGAATCGCTCCGTGTAAGTTCTGTATTTGTTCAGCTTCCGCGCCAGGCCATCGGTCTCCCTGCTGGGCCCTCGATCTGATCAGCAGGTGCAGGGGTTCACATGCAGAAGCGAGGGAGCAGAGATGCTGTGGGTTCCGCACGGGCTGCACCGGACACTGCTACTCCTTGCTCAAGGTCAGGGACAGAGATCACGTAGGCTTCTCTTTTGGTGTTTAGCATTCTTGTAAGTCTAAGGGTCAAATTTATGATGCAGAAGTGTCCCAGAACAAATGGTACTTTTTTCGCCTCTTTGCCTCTAATGATTTACTGCTACGACCGTCTTCTAACTCAGAGGTCAAAGAATCAAGGACATTGAGATCTCCCTCTTCAACTTTTAAATTAAAATCTATAAAGAAAATTTCAAGGTGAGAAAAGACATGAAGCCATATCAATATATAAAGCACAAAAGAAGACCGTATAATACTGTCAGCGTGGAGGGAGGCAGCCTCCTTATTCTAACCCCTCGCTTACTGCAAAGAGAGGAAGCCACGCTGTGCTGTTCATTCCAGGGCAGTGAATAATAGCAGAATCCTCCGAATAATTTTATACAGATAGCTCCGTGGTACAAAACAAATCTTTGAACACACTGTTAAGCGTGAAAAGGAAGATATCTAAAGGCAGTCATAAGGGCTTGATCATAATCTGCCCGAACGAGGGAAGAAATATTCACGGCAGGTCACACTCGGCACGCAGTTGGCAGAACATCTCTCGAGCGGAGCCAGAAGGTGGAGCCAGAAAGTTGCGATGACTCATGTGACTTGTGGCGTGACGCGCACACGTGCGCCTTAGGGAAGGCCTGTTGGGCTGCAGACATAGAAGTCCCATCAGCACTACTGCTGAGGATTATCAGGATCAAGGGCAGTTTTGCATCAGATGCCTGGTCAGGCAGGATCCACGCCGATTGGCCGGTACTTGTGCCTTTCCAGGCATCTAATGCTGACCACCCAGGGCAGTCACACGGAACCCAGTTTCTGGAAGTACAGCCAGATCTCAAGGGAGTGGAAAGCAGAAGGCAGTTTCTATCTCCCTGCTGTGATCAGCACGGAAGCAGCAAAGATGCTTAAGAGATGTTCTCTGATAGCGATGGTGAAGCAGACAGACGATAAAGCCAATGGGGGGAAAGGGTGCAAGGACAGCCTCGGCAACAGCGAAGGCGTATGGTCTTGAAGAAAGGGGAAAATGTGACAAATCTGACCGAGAAAGAGTTGGCAAGCACTTGCAACGGATGAGAACTCTGTTTCTCAAGGAGAACAGCCATTACTGGTATTAAAATAACATGTGCCATCCGCTAAAAATGGAGGATTCCTGGGCCCTACTGCAGAAGCAAAATATCAGAACTGGGGAGGTGGAGCGAATCTAAGGAATCTGCGTTTTAATTCATTTCTCAAGCGATCCTTGAAGCAAGAGACAGTATGAGAAGGGCAAGGAAGATGATGCGCCCAGCCTGTGTCAGCCTGAAGTGCCATGGGGCGTCCGAGAGGACGGCTCTGACTGCAGCTGCAAAGACAGGACGCCAAAGGGGAGAACGGTCGGAATGACAGTTATAGATCTGGGATCAACCCAAGTCTCTCGATAAGGTATAAGTAGGTAGTGATACTTGGACTTTATGCACCTACATACATTCAGCCACCAGATTGCCTCCTATTTTGGCAGAACCCTTGCTGGTGGATTTGGGTGGCCGGGGGGGCCTCATTTCTCAACACGGGCGCCTAGAAGCCAGTCGTTGCCTGTCCCAACCCTCTCGTGGCTGGAGTGTGAGGATGTACCAAGATCAGGTCAATTAGACGCTTCTGCTCAGGATTTTGCGTCTTCAGAAATGATTTTATGATGCAGAAAGAAAGAGTTAAGAAATGATTCACAGCAACGGCCTCCCTAGTGGCAAGCTATCCAGGCAGATGCCAAAGCCAGATTCTTCTCTGAGGGGTAGGAACTTAACTTCTGCTAAGCCATTTCTCAAGTATGACTTTTTAGCCTCCCAACCCCCGAGTCTATGAGCTACTCAAGTATTTTTATTTTTTTATTTTTTTTATTTGAGAGAGAGAGAGATATTTATGTGGGAGAGAGGCAGGAGAGAGGGAGGTGAGGGAGAGGGAGGGAGAGAAGGGGGAGAGAGAGAGGGAGAGGGGAGTGGAGAGAGAGAAGGGGGGAGAGAGAAAGGGAGAGGGAGAAGAGGAGGAGGAGGAAAGGAGGGAAAGTGGATTTGTCGATTTTGCCTGTGTAATTTTTATTTTATTTTTCTTCATTTTGCTTTTTCCGCTTTGGGCTTCCATTATTTTATTTTTATTTACTTTTAACCATTTTATTTTTGGTTTTATTATTATTGATGTTATTATTATTTTATTATTTTATTTGTTATTATTTTATTTTTAACATTATTATTTATTTTGCCTTATTATATTATTTTAATATTATTTATTTGCCTTATTATTATTTTATTATTTTATTATATTTTACTACTTCATTTTTTATTTTAACTATTTATTTTGCCTTAATATATTTTATATAATATTTACTTACTTTTAACTTACGTATTTTGGGCTCCACATATTTTATTTATTTATTATTATGATGCATATTATTATTTTAATATTATGCAAAAAGACATTACATTATTTTTATATATTTATTACATATTTATTTTGCCTATATACATTTTTTTTTGGCATAATATTTTTAACTTGATTTTATTTAAAAATAAGAAGATGACATTTTGATGCACAATATTTATTTTACCACATGATGCGATGTGATGCGATGACGGATTTTTAATATTTTATCATTTTTGGTTTTACATGGCTAACAATACATTACTTTTTTACTTACTAAACCATTGTTTTACCACATATTGGCTTACCATTTTAATATTATTTACTTTAATATTATTTTATTTTTATTAATATTTTATATTATTTATTTTACTTTACTACATTGGAGGGAGGGAGGAGAGAGAGAGGACATAGAGTGCAGGAGAGGGAGTAGAGGAGAGAGGGAGAGAGGGAGAGAGGAGAGAGAGGGTGAGAGAGAGAGGGAGGAGAGAGTGGAGAGAGGGAGAGGGAGGTAGGGAGAGAGGGAGAGAGGGAGTGAGAGAGAGAGAGAGAGAGAGGAGTGGAGGGAGGGAGGAGAGAGGGAGAGGGCCTTACAGGTTGTTCCATGTTCAGTGTGGAGCCCAACACAGAGCTCCAATCTCATGACCCCTGTGATCACACCTGAACCAAAACCAAAACCAGACATTTAAGACTGAGCCACCCAGAAGCCCCTGAATATTTTTTTTTTTCAAAAAACTCTATTTTGCCCATATTTTTGGGAAGATTTAGAGAATAATTAGAGGACAAAAATAGTTTCTCCTATGATAACAGATGAATGTGAGAGAAATACAATGATAGGAAGGTATACAATGTCATGGTTTGTTAAAAAGGTAGAAGAAACTGCTTGAGCCATGATCTGGTAGAAATCACATGACAATAGAAATTAAGAAATCTCACCGAAGAGAAAGAAAAAGTGATGGGTGTGAGCTCATTTCATCCTCAGACTGCTTTGATCATATTTCTATTTTAAGACTTATGACAGGGTGCCTGGTGGTCAGCCTGTAAAACATCTGACTTTGGCTCCTGAATGCGATCTCTCATGGTTCCTGAGTTCGAGCCCTCTGTTGCGTGTGAGCACGAGCCCTGTTTCAGTAGCCCCGCTTTCTTTCTCTCCTCCCCTCTGCCACTCCTGGGATTCTCTTTTCTCTGCCCCCTTTGCCTACGCAGAACTTCTAAAAATAAAAATAAAAATAAAAATAAAAATAAAAATAAAAATAAAGTAAAATAAAATAAAATAAAACAAAGAAAAGAAAAGAGAAAAGAAAAGAAAAGAAAAGAAAAAGAAAGACCACATTAAAGTTACGTCCCCCTAGCAGACTTCGTGCCACCAGAGAAAACCACTGCATCCACAGGGCATTTCCTAGTGCTGTCCACAGCAGACACTCTGGAAATATGTGAGAGAAGTAGGAAGGAAGAAAGGAAAGACTGAACCTTGGAAAAGGTAGAACACGTGGAACAGGAGCCCCCCTGGGCGCCTGAGGGACAAACCAAGCCAGCCCCACCCCTGAGGCCCTTCCTTAGCCCCCGGCTGTTGCCGAGGCAGCTCCCAGATTCCCACAGCTACCTCTTGCCAGTTGGGCCATTTCCCTGCTTGCTCCTTTCAAAGGCTCTCTCTCTTGGCCTTTCTCTTCCCCACCAGACCCTTTACTGTCCCTCACACTTTTAAGAAAGGCAGGAAAAGTCTTTGATCTCCAGCAGCTTTCTTTGGATTTTCTGTCCTACAGAAATTCCTGAGTCGAGGGAATGTGAAAGGCTTAATCGTGTGTCTGAGATGTGAAAGAGGAAAAAATGCAAATACAAATATCTGAAAAAAAGTGATCTTCCAACTTCTCTCTCCTACCCACTTCCCTGAGAAGCTGAGTGCCACTAAGAATCCAAGGTCTCCTTCTGTGTTAGTCTGCAACGTCGGCATCAGGCTTTGCACGTAGAACGTGCTTAATACAGATAACAATTAGATGCGCTCAAGCAGAGAAGAAATCCATGGAGACAAAGGGGTTAACAGTCCAACTAGGTGGGCAGAAGGTCCCGGAGAAGCTGGAAAGTGGATTAACTACACAGTGGGAGAGATTCTATTTGGAAATGTGAGACCCCTCTCAGACAGCAGGAAAGGCCAGAAGGTAGAAGAGAAGCCCCTCTTTCTGGGGAGAAGAGGACATAAGAGTATTCAGTGTTCTTTGCCCTGACATGTTTGGTATGGTTATAACCTGGTCTGTTCTCCACCATGTCTGCTAGGTGTCTGCGCAGCAGATAACGTGTCTTCTTATTTCTCAGACGTCCAAGCTGAGAGGAATCAGGCCATAACCGGACACAGAGACCACTGTGCAGTACTCAGGGACCCTAGGATTGGTACTAGAGGCCATGATCAAACAGAACTTGCGGCTGCCTCCAGAAACTGGGAAGAAGGAAGCAGATGGGTATTTGGCGGCCCAAAGAGCAGGCTAACCCAGATACAATGAGTGCTCCCCTGACTAGTCCATTTTCTCACACACTCCCCACTGTCCTTGCGATTAACCAGGGCCATATACTCGTTCAGGATAACAAAAGAGGAGCACCAAGGTCAGGGTCAATTCCAAGGCGTGGCACACTTGAAAAGCCCTCACTTCTGCTGGGAGGTCTGAGGAACAGGATGTGCTTTCCAGATGACGGGACAGGAGGATGGTAGCTTGCGTCCCTGAGTATCGGAGAATGCCCTACTGACTGGGGCTGGATGTGTGCTGTAAGTGACAACTAAGCCTTGTTGTCTCTAAGCACTGGGATTTCAGAATCTTTTTTTAAACTGTATTACAGTATAACCTGTCCAGAACTGTTTTCAACCAGGTGAGGTTATTAAACAACTATGAACTTCCAGCAAATCACCATCCTAAGCTAATAAAAGACAGAACTGCGAGGGCTCTGATATGTCAGATCTTTATGGGGCCCAAAGTATAGACCCTCTTCTGACCAATGATCTTGCTCTCACCAAACGTGCACAGACTTACAGACTCATCCTGTTTCCATGTAGAGATGAGGTTTTCCATCATTACTTAGCATAACCGCCTTCAGACCACCATTCCAGTGGATAAAGACTCTCGATCTCCACTTCCACAGCCCCACCCTCCATGGCTTGGGGAACGATTTAGTCAATTTCTTTAGTGGTACTCCCTTGCCTGGCAAGCAAGATAGTAAGCTCACAGGGTTTTTTCTTTCTTTCTTTATAGTCTGGTAGGCTTTGTTTTATTTGGTGACACATCTGATTACCCTTCTCCAGCTTGATTATGGAGGGAGGCATCCAAAATGTTTGCCCTTTCCTAAATTGTCAGCTTTCAAGAACAGTCAAGAATCTTGAACCTCTAATATACATTATCCTGACTGCACATGTCCAAGGCAACTCAGGGGATATCTGAGTCATGAGTCTCTAAGATACTGACCTTCAACCAGGCCAGAAGTACCCTGACTCCAATGATCTCTCAGAGTTGAAGCGGATGCTTTGAAAATGATTATACAACATTAACTCCAGGGAACTCCTAAGGAGAAACTTTTCCTGCACTTACTTCTCACAGAAATCAGTCACAGAACCCCACCATCTGCATG